GAGCGTTAGCAAACCCAAGGGGCCAGACTCCTGGCTGGAGGCGTTCATTTTCTAAAATTATTCAATATTATTTTATTTTATTTTTAGGCAATTGGGGTTAAGTGACTTGCCCAGGGTCACACAGCTAGTAAGTGTGAAGTGTTTGGTCTGAGGCTGCATTTGAACTCAGGTCCTCCTGACTTCAGGACCGGTGCTCTATCCACTTCGCCACCTAGCTGCCCCTATTCAATATTATTTTAAAATGCCAACGATGAAAGAATAGGAAAAGGACAAGGAGGAGGAAAGTGAGGAAGAGAGGGCAAAAGACTGAGAGGAAAGAGGAGGAAGAGAAGGAGGTGGGAGGGGAGAAAAGGAGGAAGAGGAAGAGGGGGAGGGGAGGAGGAGAAAGAGGAGGAGGAGGGAGGGGGAGGAGGCAGAGGAAGAGGGGAGGGGGAGGAAGAGGAGGAGGGGGAGGGAAGGAGGAAGAAGAAGAGGAGATGGGAGGGGAGGAGGAGAAAGTGGAGGAGTAGGGAGGGGGAAGGGGGAGGAAGAGGAGGAAGAAGAAAAGAAGGAAGAGAAGGAGAGGTCCCTCAGGGGCTTGGGAGCATTTACACAGTATTTCCCATTTTCTTGCTCCTGCTTCTGTTCTCTGCAGAAGGTGGCCCTAGGATGAGGGGGTAGTGTTGGGGGCCTGATTCTGTGGGCTAGGGGGGCATAATGCCCACGCCCATGCAATAGGTGTAGGATCAAGGAGATAGCATGGGCAAAATGAAGCAGCTATGGGGCATCAGTGTATGTACCTACAGAATCATCGAGTCCTACCCAGTCTATCAGAGGTACAAGGTCCTGTAGATCTAGAGATGCAAGAGCGTCTAGTGTTCTGTAAAGTCTTGGAGCCTAAAGGACTTCCCCAGAGCCAGGCCAGGCCAAGCCAGAGTTTTCTCCTTTTCTAGAAACCCAGATACGCAGGGACAGAAAGAGGAGGGGAAAGAGGAACATAGGGAGGGAACAGAAGTGTAAGTGTGCGGGGAATGGGTGAGGGGTTTCAGCAGCCCCTGTGACCCTGCTTAGTTAGAGGAGCCTAAACCAGACTGAGCTGAGTTTCCCAACCACAAGCTGTGCACACCTACCCCCCCCCCCCAGCCATGTGTCTTCTCTCTGACCTAACTCCCCCCATCCTGTGGGCCTTGGAAACGTGCTTAGCCCTCAGGCAGATTTACTGTCTTCCCCAAGCACTGATTCTCTTCCAGGCCTAGCGGGCCAACTTTCTGGGCTGGGGAACCAAGCCCTTTCCAGGGAGGGCTCCATCAATCTCCATGGGCAGCCTGGCCCTGGCCATGACATTGCCCAGAAAGGGCCGGCTGCTCGGCCATTTTCCCCGCTTCAGCGGCAGCTGCACTGAGCCCCTCTCCCCAGCTAGGAGCTATTTGTCCAGATCGAAGTTCACCTTGGTGCTAAGGACGCTTTTGGGGGTACCCCCGACACCTCTGGAGCTCCTTATCCTCTGCCCTTTCTCCAGCCCAGCTCCACCTCAGAAAGCCCCCTGCCCAGGCACCCTGTCTCGTCTCCGTTTGTTCAGCCGTCTGGTCTGGAGTTTGCCGCTCACTCTACCTCCCCAGCCCATTTGGACTGTGCTCCCCTGTCCCTGTCCGCCAGGGGTGCTCCTCACTGGGAGAAGATGTCGGCTAAGGTCCGGACCCAGCTACTTCCTCCCTCCCTCCCTCCCTCCAGGGCCTTGGGAAAGTTTTCCCCATAGAAAGTAAACTCTTTAAGGGTGGGGCCTGATTTTGTGTTTGCATCCCCAGAGCCTCATGACCTGGCTACTGAGCTTCGGCATTTCTACCTGTTGAAAGAATGTAAGCCCTGGCAGCACTCCCTGCATTTTAGCACCTGTTACAGAGGACTAAACCAAAGCCCAGAGCTGGAAATGACTTGTCCAAGGTCACTGCCACTCTATCAGCCACTTCCAGGTCATCATTCCTAGGGGTTACAGCTAAGGCCCCTAGTAGCCAAGGATTCCAACCTGTGCAGCCAGCATAGGGCCAGGCCCAGTCTATGGGGAATGATGGCCAGCCCCAGCCGCAGGACTCACTCTCAGGAAATTAGGGATGCACACTAGTCCTGGCCTATCTTGTCCTGCCCAAAGCCAGGCTAAAGAATCAAAGAAAAGGAGGCCCAGCAGACACCTGGCTCAGAAAGCATCACTTAAGTTCAGAATTGGAAGAGGCCTCAGGACATCTGGAGACCCCTCTTGCAGAAAACGCCCTCCCTCCTGGGCCAGCCCATTCCCATTCTGGGAAGCTCTCTCTAATCACCTGGGCTGGGTACACGCTTCCCAGAAACTTCCCCCTATTGCTTCCTCCACAAGATGGTCCTTTCAGAGGAGAGTGAAGACGGAGCCCAAACTAAAAGCCAACTGAACCAAGAAATAATGAGAGTGACTTGGAGGTAACAGTGCTGGAAAGGGCCTTCTAGAGCATCTCATCCATTGCTCTCCTCACTGGGACATCAGGGAAGGGGCTCACCAAGGCCGCTTAGGGAGTAAGTGGTAGAGCCGGGATTAGAACTCACGTCCTCAGAGTCCCGTTCTCTTGTTTCCCCCTCTATTAGGATCTATGTCAGGAGTGTAATGAGTTCCACGAATAGGCAGCTCTTCCCCAGCTTTGGAGGCACCTTCAAACACAGTACCCCACCTTTCATTGCAGCTGTATCATCATAGTCATCAGGTATTTATTAAGTGGCCCCTGGGTGCCTGGCACTGGGCTGGGTGCTGAGGATGCCCCAAAGACCAAAGTGAAACAGTTCCTTCCCGCAAGGAAGTTCCATTTCATCGGGAGGAAACCACGTGGACACAGAGAAGTGAATACACAGTTTGGACAAAGGGATTTCCAGGAGTGGCCTCAGGTCAAACAGAATAGTGAGATGGACCCAAAGGAAGGAGGGGGAAGAATGGGGCAGCAATGCAGAGCCAACCTGGAAGGGTAAGAGCAGAGCCTCAGAGGATTTAGACACTTACAATCTCTGTGGCCTTGGGCAATTCAGGAGGTCCTGGATTTGAATCCACTTCAGACACCTGCTATCACTGGGGCCCTAAGAAAAACCACTTTACATTCACTGAGCCTCACTTCCACATCCATGTGAGGATGATGATAATAATGTCTAACCTGGGGGTGGGGAACATGCGGCCCTCTAGGTCCTCGGGTGTGGCTTTTTGGCTGAGTGCAAGTTTGACAGAACAAATCCTCTTATTACAGGGATTTGTTCTGCCAAGTTTGGATTCAATCAAAGGGCTGCACTTGAGGACCTAGAGGGCCACATGTGGCCTTGAGTGGGTTCCCCACCCCTGGCCTAACCCACAAGTTTGTTATGAATGAAACAGCTGTGTAAAATGCTTTGATAATCTTAAATACCACCTGTGGGGGTGCAGTGGCTAGAGCCCTAGCCCTGAAGTCAGGAGGATTTGAGTTCAAATCTGGCTTCAGACACTACTTGTGTGTCCCTGGGCAAGTCTCAACCCTGATTGCATCCAAAACCCCCACCCACAAAAGAAAAACCAACCAGCTGTTGCCCCCCCTTTCTAGGCCTGCACAATAAGAGCCCTGAGGTCCCTTCCAGTTCTGATGCTGCCTGTCATTCTTTATAAGAAAGAAGCAGCTTGGAGTTGTTCCCAGCTTTGCGATCTGGGCCTTTCTGGACCTTGCTTTCTTTTTGTATAAAACAGAAATCATTGCGCTTGCATTGTCTGTCTTACAGAGGTGTTGTGAGAACTCTGCATCAGGCAATAATCAGTGGAGGAGATGCATAGCGGGGGCTCAGGAAGCTCTGGGCATGGCGGGCCTCTGATACATATCAGCTGGGTGAGCCTGGGCAGTGACTTCCTGCCTGTGACCGTGTGGGCAGCTTGCTTTACCTTTCAAAATTTCTTTGTACATCTGCCAAAAGGAGATGCCACTTGGGCTCCCTGCTCCACTGGCTGGAGTAAGGAAAGTGACTGTAATTAGCTAGGTGTATCTGGCTAGCTGTTCTGTCCATCTCTCTCTCTCTCTCTCTCTCTCTCTCTCTCTCTCTCTCTGCCCCTCCCCTCCCAGTCTCTCTGTCGCTCTGTCTCTCCCTCTTTTCTATCTCACCTTTTCTTTCCCTCCCTCTCTATGTCTGTGTTTCACTGTGTCTATTTCTCCGTCTGCTTCCATCTCTCTGTGTCTTTCTGCCTCTGTCCTTCCGTGTCTGTCTGTCTTTTTCTCTGTCTCTCTGGGTCTGTCTTTAGGTCAGATCTCATGTTACTCACTGAGAGTGACCATGTCCTCACTAGCTCCCCACATTTGGGGGCAGAGAACCCTAGGCCCTGGGTTCCAATCTCTGCCCCTGCTGCCCCCTCCACCTGTGAGAATTTCGGAATAGAATTTGACTTTGTGTCCTCAGTTTCTTCATTTGTCAAATAAGGGGTGGGGCTGTACCTCCCAATCCCTTCCTGACCTGAGCCCTGCCATATTCTGATTTGAACAGCAAATAGCTTTTTTTCAAAGAAAGGGAATGCGGATGGCAGCAGGGCTGGGGGTGAGTAGTGGGCAACGGCTAGCCAGTCAGAGCCTGTTTCTCTTGTCTTTGCTACCTGCCAGCCCAGACTGCTCAGCAGCTCCCTCCCCCCTTTTTCAGCCCCATAGAAAGGAAGGGCTGGGCTGGGGCGCCCTGCCCCTTCCAACCCTCCTCGCTCTCGGATTGACAGAAGACCCTTCTTTAACTCCCGGCCTGTGGCTGTGCTTTGAGTGAATTCCCTGGGCAGCCGGGCCCCTTCTCTCTCACAGAGGAGAGATGTGGGGTCAGAGCCCACCCCACCTTCTCCCGCAGCCCACTTTCCAAGCCCCCCGCATCTCCAAGGAGACACGAGGACCAGCACGCCCCCCCCCCCGGCTTTGCTGCTCCTGTGGATGCCCCCTCCCCGGGCACAGCTACCGGGGTTGGAGCCCCAGCGCAGCGGCGCCCCCTCCCCAACGCCCCAGTCCCCTGGTCTCCCGGGCACTCAC